TATTTTTTAAATGTTTAAAAGTTAAGTAATTATGTTAAATATTTATTATTAATGATTATTATTTTTTGAATAAATATTATCTTATAAATATATTATATTATCGAAATTTCACTTATATTGTTTTGTTTAAAAAAATTAACTGATCATATTCTCATATGTAATGGGGTGAGAAGAGGTAAGGTAGTAGGATGCCGTAAGGTAGTAAGATGCCCCCAACGGGTTGAGAGTAATTTCTGTGGAATACCTCCGACAGTCAAAATTATTAATTATCCATCGTAAGACTCGATCTTATAACCACAAAATTAAAAACCTTACGCTCTACAAACGGACAATCATCTGAAATACTGTATAGGTAGCAACTTTTATTTGCTTTACCATCTGAGATGGGATTATATTTCTTCTTTCTTACTTCTTTTATTGAAAAATTTTAAGTCATGATTTAAAAAGCGTTTGGGAATGCTGTTATACATTCTTTGTAGTTGCAAACCGATTCAAATGTGACGTGGTTTTCAAGTCTTCTCTCTCTCTTTAATCTTTTAAAAATGAGAAAATAACTCAGTGACTAAAAATGTCTTATAATATACGATTTTAACCAATTTTTTGTATTTACCAAAATGACCAACTAAATCGCAATGCGATCGATAATTCGCAACGCATCTCCGGTATCGCAAATCAGTTTCCAGAATCGCAACGCGAACTTCGACTATCGCAATGCGACTATCGCAATGCAATCGCGCGATAGTCGAACGTTATCGCAATGCGAACTTGGACTATCGCAATGCGAATATGTAAATCGCAATACGATAGTCCAAGTTCGCATTGCGATAGTCAAAGTTCGCGTTGCGATTTTCCAAATTCGACTATCGCATTGCGATATACATATTCGCATTGCGATAGTCCAAGTTCGCATTGCGATAGTCGAAGTTCGCGTTGCGATTTATTCCAAATTCGTTGCGATAGTCGAAGTTCGCGTTGCGATTTATTCCAAATTCGTTGCGATAGTCGAAGTTCGCGTTGCGATTTATTCGAAGTTCGTTATGATAGTCCAAAATCGCAACGACTGGTGGTATTGCATTTGTTTCTTAAGAATTTTCTCTAAAAAGATAGTATTCGCGCGGACGTGTCGAATACACGTATTACCACGACCACGACCACGACCACGACCCGACCCGACCCGACCAGAGACGAGACGAGACGGCGGCGGCGCGCGAGAGTCCCCCTTGTTCTCTATCACTCAACAAGGAAGTGGGAAAGTCAAGCCTTAAATAGCATTCCCAATAGTGTTTCCAATATTATGTGGGATTGAGCATTACCAACACTTGTTTCCAATACAATGTGATTATTCAGGAAAAAAATTAACAATCATGCACCTTAAAACAACTGAATCAGCAACCAATTGCATTAGTATTATACGATTAAATATGCCATAATTAAAAGTCAATCTACAATCAATCGCGATTATTGCAATTTTAAGCAAAACATTCAAAATAATATCACTATTTAAGGCTCAATCCCACATAGTATTGGGAACAAATGTTGTAATGTTCAATCTCACATAGTATTGGAAACACTATTGGGAATGGTATTTAAGGCTTAGCTTTCCCACTTCCTTGTTGAGTGATAGAGAACAAGGGGGACTCTCGCATGCCGTCGCCGCCGCCGTCCCGTCTCGTCTCGTGGTAGTGGTCGTGGTAATACGTGTCTTCGACACGTCCGCGCGAATACTATCTTTTTAGAGAAAATTCTTAAGAAACAAATGCAATATCGTCGTTGCGATTTTGGACTATCGCAACGAATTTGGAATAAATCGCAACGCGAACTTCGACTATCGCAACGAACTTGGAATAAATAACAACGCGAACTTGGACTATCGCAACGAATTTGGAATAAATCGCAACGAATTTGGAATAAATCTCAACGAATTTGGAATAAATTGCAACGCGAACTTCGACTATCGCAACGCGAACTTGGACTATCGCAACGAATTTGGAATAAATCACAACGAATTTGGAATAAATCGCAACGTGAACTTCGACTATCGCAACGCGAACTTGGACTATCGCAATGCGAATATGTAAATCGCAATGCGATAGTCGAAGTTCGCGTTGCGAATCTGGAAACTGATTTGCGATACCGAAGATCGCGTTGCTAATTATCGATCGCATTGCGATTTAGTTGGTCATTTTGGCAAATCCAAAAAAAGTTGGTTAAAATCGTATATTATAAGGCATTTTTGGTCACTGAGGTTATTTTCTCTTTAAAAAAACTGAATTTAAATTAATTTTGATTTTAAATAGCATGGGAAAAATACACAAATGGTCCCTTGACTATATGATAATACTTTGTTGAGTCCCTCGATTATCAAATATAAAATGGTCCTTCAACTAAAGGATGCTAATTTATTGAGTCTCTCTACTATTAAAAGTTACAAAATGATCACTCAACTATTCATATATTCCAAACTCATCATTTTCCATTAAAAATTTAACGGTTGTCTGAGGTGGACGTTAAGTCGCTGACTGAGATATGATAAAAAATGATCCCATAACCATTTGAATTTTATAGTCGTTTGAGATTATGTGATTAGATTTTGTCATATCCTAGTCAACAGCTTAACGTCTAGTTCAAATATATGTCAATTTTTAATGGAAAATGATGAGTTTGAAACATATGAATAGTTGGATGACCATTTTGTAACTTTTAATGGTCGAAGGACTCAACAAATCAGCACCCTATAATCAGAAGAACATTTTGTAACTTTTAATAGTTGAGGGACTCAACAAAGCATTGGCATATAGTCAATGGAGCATTTGTGTACTTTACCCAAATAACAAGAAGGAAAGCATAAAGGACCATTTGTGTAGTTTACTCAAATACCAAGAAGGAAAGCATAAAGGACCATTTGTGTAGTTTACTCAAATACCAAGAAGGAAAGCAAATCGCTTTACTTTAGCGAAGCTCAAGAAGGAAAGCTTTAAAATGCGAACATCTGAGAAAAGGGATAAAAGTGTTTGTGAACATGCAGACAGCAAACGACAACACCTGCCTTCCACAACAAACACTACACGGTTTACCTTTTTCACTTTCACCGGAATTTCTCGGCCGGAGAGTCGGAGACCACCACACATCATCATCACATTCATTTATTCTTTTACTTTTTTCCATTTCAAACAAATGAAAAACCTACTCTTGTGTTGTGTCTTCATCTTGAAATGCTTCATCCATTATCACAATGGATTCATAGCTTAATTCTTAATTAGTAATTAGTATGTGTTGTGCTGTGCTGTGTTCCATAATTTGGAGGACCGATTAGTTGACAGTTGAGTGGCGTAAATGGCGCTGAATCTCAATCCTTTTACTTAACCTAGTCAAACATGTTTGACAATGTACATTCTGGTTTTTGGTGTAAACAATGTACATCTGAAAACACTTGCCCTGGACCTGTACGCCCGGGACCGACCAGCACGGTGGTTAGCTGAAGCCTTAGAGATAGATAGGAGTTACCTGCAACGACTCCATCGGATTATAAGATTTCATCATGCAGAAACCTGGATCCATGACATACTTAGTGCCATCAACGATTAATGATGCTTCTGCGATATCTGTTGCTAGGACTATCATGCTTGCATCAACTCGAGTGGGTTTGAATATTTTGGCTTGAAGCTCAGTAGGAAGATTTGCAACTATAGGTCGTATTGACTTTTAAGGAAACAGTTATTAACCAATGAATATTACTATAATTCCCCGTTTTTGTAAACCAACCAATACATGTTTATATAGCTGCATGCACTCAGCAAGTACACAACTAAACCTAACAACCTAGCTAACAGACTGCTAACAGCTCAACAGTCTAACCACTAAGACCACTCAGCTAACGCCACGTGTATCCTTTAACTCTATTATTCCCTCTGCCCATTCTTGTCTTCTTCTCAAAACAAGGCAACACACATATTTGTCACGAAACTATTCAAACGCTACCTTATATAAGTGTTTAGTAAGCCCATCTACAACTTGATGAGAAGCTGGTATGTAATTCACACGTAATTGTTTGGTTGTTACCTTATCACGGATAAAGTGAATATCCAAGTATATGTTGGACTGGACATGGACATGATAGACTGGGTTGACACTCATTGCTGCAGCACCTGAGTTATCGCACCACACAACTGGATGCTCTCGCTGCTGCAAACCAAGATCATGCCAACAATGCACCCACCCATGTAACTTCAGCAGTTGCATCAGCAATGCTCCTGTGTTCTGCCTTCATTGTCGACCTTAAGACTAATTTTCACTTCTTGGAACACCATGCCACTAGACAATTTCCAACAAACACACCATACCCCGAAACTAACATACGATCGTCTATATTTACACCCCGTCATCGTTCACAAAGGCTATTGTAGCCAGATCAATCCTTTAACTCAAATAGGGCAGATAATAAGTATTTGCAACACTAAAAAGCCATTAGAAAATATCTTATCCTACCTAATAACCGCATCTTGATCATAAGCTTCTGGCATTTTGTACTCACCAATATGATTTACTAAGAGTGGACTGACAAAGACTGTCGTCCCTAATAATTTTAAATCATCATATATTTTAAATATACATTTTATACAATTCCAAAGCTCCTCAAGTGTCTTTTGCTCCCTCTTATTTAAGTGATCTAAATTTATGTAATTGAAAGGAGAAGAGAATCCTGTGCCCATATGGGAGCTTCCACTGTGATTCTGTGGGATCCGCTCGTAATTACGTGTCACCGAGGCATAGCATCGAAACGTTTCCCTCCTACTTCCTATTTCCAAATCCGTGGGCAAAAAACAAAAACGTTTGTTAGCCGACGTCGTTTCGAGCATCCATTTACTCGAAGCAAAAGCAACGAATAAAATCCCTGTTCTCTTTTAAAATGTATTTCGCCCTTCTTTTCTCTTCGCTGTGCTTATAGCTCACTGCTCAAGGAATTGGTAATAGCAAAAATGTTTTCCATAAAAAATCTGAACCTACCTGCACCTTGGAGCCTTTGAACAATCATTCGTGCTTCTGCTTCTCCATTGCCACAGTGTTTTCCGCCGTCTCTGCGGCTGAAGCCATCTCATGGCAGTCTCTGTCGCCGTTCCCAAAGGTTTAGTCCTAGGTTTTTGCTCACTCGATAGGCGTATTTCCTTCAGCCAATCCGTCGTCGCTTTCGCTGCTTCTCACGATGAATCGGTGAGTTTAATTTCAAATGATAGTTTATGACTTACGATTTTCTTTTTTAATTCAAATCTTTGTTTTTCTTTCATTTTAAAATTTTCTAATAATACGGTTTTTGAATTATGATTTTTTTTAGAAGCATTCAGAAATAGATGTGGAGAGGGAAAATGGTGAAGAATCATCAAATGAAGAATGGAAACAAGCTTCAGAAGCTGTCAGAGAACAAGCCTTGAAGATGCAAAGCGTGTCCCTAGAAGCTTATGAGATTTATTCCAAGAAAGCGTTGGTTACTCTGAAAGAAACCTCGGAGCAGCTTAAGATTCAAGCAGAGATGGCCAAACATGATTTGATTGAAAACGTAAAAGAAATCGGTGGACAAGGAAAAGTTTACCTCTCGACGGCAGCCGAAAATTCCTCTCCAGAAATCAAAGAAATTGTCGAAACATTCTCTTCCTACTCAGCTGATGATTTCAATGACATTTCCAAAATTCTTGACTTTCACGTTGGCATACCTTACGGTATCGGATTCATCTTTTATGAATTAATCTGCTTATTTCAATCGATTGATTCTGTCCAATCATGCAATTCAGTTTGAATATGTATGGAAAGTATACTATTCTCAATGGAGTGTGTAGACATTAATTTTTCCATCATCATATTATTATTATTATTATTATATTATTATTATTATTATTATTATATATATTATTATTATTATAGACCCAAAATAAATAAAAACACAATCTAGAGCCCAAATTATTAATCCCGAAGCCCAAACATGGAGGCCCAGATCCGGATGGCCCAACAAAAGACCCAAACCCATTTAAGGTTTGTATCATTTCTCTTAGGGTTTCATAACCTTATCCCAGCTGCCGCCTCCAAGCTTCAGCCGCTACGTCCTGCCAGGTGGTCCAATGCCCTACTGCCACCGCCATTGCCGACACTCCTTTGCCACGCTACACTCGTCAGAAGACTCCAGAACACCAGATGGCAGCCCACGACCATCCCTATGGTGAGTCACCACCATAGCTATGGTGACTCACCTAGGAAACCTCTTGGGACCGGTCTGAGAGCCACATCCGACGAGCCTATAAATGGCCACCACCACCTGCAAAATAAAAAAAGGAAAAATAGACCAAAGACATAAATAAAAACCACCACCAACAGAAGCAATACACCAGCAACAGACGAAAACACAACAACCCATATCAAAAATAAAAGAAAAGAAAAGAGAGTGGAGCAGCTTACCCTTGTAGGAGTCTCCAAACCGCCGTGCGACCACCAAAAATCGAAGGTAAAAGACTAGATCTAGGCCGAATATGAGACTTTTAGGAATAAAAAGGTTCAAAATCGAATAAGGAGAGTGAGAGCTTTATTTTGATTTATTGTGGGATTTTCCGATCACCGTGGTGGTCGGTGCCGGAGAGCGGCTGCCGGCCGAAACCTTTTTTCCTCCGGTGAGGGAATTGAAGAGAGAGTGGAGAGAAATTTGAACTTCTCTCTTCTAGAGAGAGAAGTGAAATGAGAAAAATGAGAGAAGTTGTCTCTCTTGGGCCGATTAAAGGGTTTATATACCCTCTCCCAAACGACGTCGTTTTGAGGGGAGGGGCTTATGTGTAATTTCACACATAGTAAAACCCTTTCCGCCATCCTTATGATTTTTTAAATTTCCATTTTAGTCACCAAATCAAATTTATAAGTATTTTGATTTGTTTTTTTAATTTTACTTATTTATATTTTAGTCATTGAAATTAACTTATGAACTTTTAATTTGGTATTCACATTTCTATTCCTTATAATTTAGTCCTTGACCTAATTATATATATTTTAGATTAAATACCTTATTTAGTCCCTCATAATTTAATTAATATTTACTTTAATCCCGTATTAGTATTTATGGCTAATTTACACTATTAATACTTATAATATTTCGAATTAGAGCTATAAATTTTAATATTATACATTTTATTTCTGTTATTTTAATTTTATTTATTTCAGTCATTATTTAATTGCAATTTTATTATCCTTTAAATTACAATATGTTCAAATTAATAATTTAATTATTATTTTGTTATTATTTTATTTATATAAAAATATATTTGATTAAATATTGTATTTATAAAAACAAATATATATATAGTTTTATTCATATTATTCTTCATTTTATATTTCTTTAATTTTAGTCATATTAATAAATATTATTTGATTAATTTTATAAATTAATAATATTTATTTTTAAATATTAAGAAATGACAGTCTTAAAGCAACTAGATGTCTTATTCTGATATTTTAAAAATAAATAAATATTTGCTAATAAATATATATATATATATATATATATACTTCATTATTTTTTAGGAAAATTATTATATTCTTATTAATATTTATTTATTTTTTAATATTAAGAAATGGTCTGTCTTAAAGCACCTAACAGTCATTTTCTGATATTTCTAAGTAAATAAATATCTTATTTATAAAAATATAAACATTTTCTTAAAATTATACTAATAAATTTGAAATAATAGAATTAAGAATTAAATATATTTTTAAAATTTTAAATTGCTAATAACATAGACAATTTATAATTAATAAGTATCAATTTTGGGCGTTATAGAGGTGATAATCCTTCCCTAAATATAATCGACCACGAATCTTTTCTTTATTAATTTTTTTTTGGTTATACGCAAATCAGTTTATCTTTTAAATTATGTTTTCTTAAAAACTATTTTAAGAGATTATTTTTAGGTATTTGACCTACCTACCCAAAAAAAGGTCAAAGGCGACTCCCGAAATATTTTTTTCCCAAACCATTTTTTTCCGCAAAGTAAAAATTTTGTGCCCGGGCGAAAACCAGTTACGACAGCTTGGCTACTCCACTGGGGACCTGGTCAAGCTTTAAAATCAATTATAAATTGTCTCTATTAATTAGAAATTAAAAATTCATATATTTAATTTACAATTCTTTTCTTTCAAATTTTTTATTACTTATGATTTTCATAATATTTTTTTATTAATGTTTTTTTTATTTTTAGATATTAAATTTCATTTGTTTGTCAAATGTTTGAATATTTCTCCTCACACCCAAACACTTGCATTGCATAACATAAACTTTATAATTAAGCTTGTCCCTTTTAAGTGGGAGTGAAAGCGACGTCTTCGTGAGAATTTATTCTCCGTGTCAGACCTAGCAAGTAGCTTTCGGGGTTCATATGCTCTATATCTTCGTGAGAATTTATTCTCCGTGTCAGGCATAGAGAAATGTATCCCCTCGAATTGAACTCGATCCATTTAAGTCTGTAGTGGACTAGGATTGAGGGTTGGCAGCCCAAGGGGGCACCAACAAGGACAGTTTGAGTACCTTTACTCCTAGAACTGAAACCCTACATATAATAAACCCTAGAAATTCTCCCGATCTGAAACCATGCCGAAATTTTGTTCAAAGTAGGTGTACACCAAGGAGAAATAAGCTCTAGCTTTTAATTTATTTGATTTTATTTTTTTCTTCTAAATAAATACCTGTGAACTAGTAATCATGCGGTTAGATTAATTTTTCCAAACAAAGCATGGAACTAGAAAGCATGAGGTTAAGATATATTGATAGATAATTTTTTTTCTTTCCATTAGTTGGTACTAACCAATTTATTTTTTCCTTTCTCATTTTTATTTTTGATATATTTTATTTTGCTCTAATTTGTTTATATTAATTTCTTGTGTTTGCATTGCATGATCATAGCATAACCAAAAGGTGTTGACTTGAAAGATTGTTCATCGAATTGGAAAGACTTCATAAATGGACAAAAAGTTTTATGATCGAACAAAATATGACGCAACCACGGAATGACATCCTGAGAGAACTCTGATGATAGAGGAGAGCTATAAACTCAAAGATCATATGCCCATGAAAGAGCAAAAGGAGATACGAGAAATAAGAGAACAGATGTCCAAGATGATGGGTAGAATATCTGTTTTGGCCAAAGGAAAAAAGACCCCTGCACAAAAAGAGAGAGAGGTCAATGAACATAACCCTGCAATCTCAGATATACAAGGGACTTCTGATCCTAACCAATTTGAGAAATTACAGACAGTCATCATTCGTATTCACAAATCGTCTAGAGATACCAAAGAAATGGTGACAACTGTAAAAGCTCCCAGAGATGAGAAAAAATCACGTAATCTGAAATCGTCGAAGTTTAGTTTGATCTCGGCATCTAAAACTCAGGTTCAATCCAAGACAAAAGGCGGTTCTCATTTTGATGTTATTCCTAAATCATTTAAAGAGTTATATGAGAAGTTACTTAAAGCGCGAGAAGTGGCTCCATACTACATAAAATCGTTTCAACCGTCGTATCCTAATTGGTATGACATCAACTTTTATTGTAAATATCATGCCGGAGCTCAAGGACATACCATTGAGAATTGTCTTGCCTTCAAACGTCGAATCCAAAGTCTTTTAGATCATGGAACCTTATAATTTATGATAAATGATCGACCTAGTTGGGTAACTGAAGGTCCTGCTAGATTAATACCAAAAGTCTTCAAAGATAAAAGTATCAGTAGGGGGTGTCCAGAAGGAAAAAGGTTTGCTGAGGTCCGAGACTCAAATACGTCATTTAAAGATTGAAAACGATAAATTAAGCACCAAAATGGAAACCATGCATGAAGATTTCTAGAAGGTCAATCAAGCCTTTCAAAATGCTGGCATAGGAAACACCCCATAAGAGTGGATAACAGGGGTTACCAAACTGAAAAAGAACTGCAACATATATGAAGATCTTGTCCAAAAACTTCTTGGACACAAAGGTTCTCTTACAAGAGAAAATGAGCAACTCTGAGAATTGACACAAGAAGATAAAGGAAAAGGATAATGTCATGGAAGAAGCCGTAGTCCAGACAGGCAATACGACCAATAAGCTGATAGACTTAGCTGACTTTACAAGGAATTGAAGCAGACTGATAACTCAACTTTTGAGAATGAATGAAAACTAACTTGGCTTTTGAGAAGTTAGGAGGGAAAGTTATCCCCTATATGTAAAGTTTTGTTGAAGTTAGGACTGAAAGATATCCCCTACATGTAAAAGTTTTGTTTGATGCACGAAAACTTTTGTGTTCAATGAAATCTGTTCTAAGATGATCACTCTTGAGTAACACCTTTTCATACATGCATTTGCATTTCACATCTTTGCATTTTCATTTTGTATTCATACTTTTAGGTTTACATCTTTGCATTACATAGTTTACATTCTTATTTTTGCTTTTATGCATTTTCGCATTTACATTACATTATTTATTTAAGTATTGTTATATACATTGATTATAAAAACATGTAAATAATTCTTGAAAGGTTTTGTAACAGTAAAACCAAGATCATTCATTTATATTACTGTACCATCATCATGAAAACAATATAGCAATCTTATGAAGAACTACAAGATCAGTGGCCAGAACCATTGACAGGGTTACCTCAAGATACAAGGAAAGAAGCATCGGATTCAGTACATGATGGATTAAATCAAATTAT